GCGGCAGCGGCAGCGGCAGCGGCAGCGGCAATTTGTAAAATCCTTCCCGGCCGCTTTGGGAAGGGCTCTATCCAGCCCGAGTGATCCCGTAAGATAAACGCAGATACTATTTTGGGAAACTAGGAAGAGAGGAGGAGGAAGTGGGGGGGAAAAAGTAGGAGGGAAAGAGAAGGGAGGAAGCGGAGCTGTTGTTATTTTGGATTCCAAGAGTCGGGAGGAGGTAGGGAGGGAGAGAGGGAGGAGGGGAAAAAGGCATCACCACCATCACCACCACCCCCAAAATTCCCAAAGCAAAGAAGGACAACCCCAGAAAGGACTCACTTTGCCTGATGACTCAACGCAACTAATAATCATTTGTCTCCTCTCTGGCGAATCCCTCGTGTTTCTGCCGCTGCCGCTTATGCTGGCTGGAAGAGGGAGAGATTGAAAGTGACACATCGGGCGCTGCTCGCGGCTTAGCGGAGGTCAGAGCACCGGCTTCTGCTGCTGCTGCTGCCGCCGCCGCTTGCCCGATAGAGTGTCCCCATTCGGAAGCAGCCTCTCCACCCCTTTGCTTCCCCCTCCCCCTCTTGTTTCTTTCCCCCCTTTTTGCCGAAGGGGTGAGAAACCGTCTCCCCCTCCCCTGTCTTTCTCCCCCGCCTCCTTCCCTCCCGATCCCAGAAGTCTCACCTCTCCTTTCCAGTTGCCACCTCGGGTGCCCTTTTGGGAAGAGCTCTTTCCTCAAAGCATCCAGCCGTTTCAGGCGCAAGACGACCAGGCATCCTGACCCGGGAACGAAAAAAAAAAAAGGAAAAAAAAGGGAAAAATAATACCCCCCCTCCCCACAACTTAAGGCGTCAGTGGGGTGGGGTAGTGGGGAGAAACGAAAAAGGCAAAGAAGAAAATAAAGTAGCAAGAGGAGCCAAGAAAACTTTCCACCCTGGATTCTCTACTTTTGATCCATGGACAGAGCCCAAGTCAGCCAAGTTACGGACAGAGTATAAGCAGTAAGTACTGAAAAGCTTAGCGAACTAGCCGCGGTAGTCCCGAAAGATGGTTGAAGACGCCTGCTCAAAACAAAACAACTGACTTAATAGAAATGTAATAACTGTGACCGAGTTGCTTCAGGTTGAAGTTTTAATGTGATATGTTACACTCCATTTTATTTGTTTCTGTGTAACTCTGTAAATCGCTCTTATGCTGTCTCCCCCACCCTACGTTGTGTAGTCAAGCTTGAAAACTCAATCTGCTTGAGATAGCATTTCAGCACAAAATTCCACATCGGCTCTAGGATTGCAGGCAAACGGGGGGAAATACTCGAGGAGGAAAAAATGTTTTTCCCTTCTGAGCAAACCTGTAATTTTTCTTTGCACAACAAAAAGCAAATCAACAGAAGAATCAAAGGTTAGCTTAACATCTCTATTACTTAGCAAGCGTTTACAAACGGGAAGGATAGCAAATATATGTTGCTTTTTAAAGGCTTGTTTAAGAGTTTGAAAGTGGGGCTACATTCTTAAGTACTCTTTACTGGCATTGTAGGTTTGCTGCTTATTTCTTCAGTTTATCCAGAACAGGACCAACCTTGAAATGCATATTTAGCTATGTAACTAGAGGTCTGTATTACTTCATGCATTATTTGAAATGCATTAGGTCTTTTAAAGCTTAGGCTCTCTTCTTAACACATTTGTTTGTCGAGTCCATAGCTTTTATAAATTGCATTGCATTCTTTATCTCCAAGAGAGAAACTGGAGCAGGTAAATAACTCTGAAAATAGCAAGGTTTATAAAGCCAAAGTTAAATGAAAACTTCTGTGAAAGATTCTGTGTAGGTACTTGTTAGCTGATGGTACCCCAAGCAGCATAGGGAGTATTAAGAAATCAGGTACAAAACCAGAGTGTTCTGGTTAGCTCTTCTGTGCCATGCAGCTGCTGTTATTTCTGCTTGAAGCACCCTCGTTAAATGTAGATGTAACTAATTGACACATTGGATCTGGATGCTTCTGAAATGGTATTTCTTGTTTGTTTCTTTCTCCCTCTTTCTCTTTTTAGGTCCTTGCTCATTTTATTGTGACCTGCCTGTGGGAACGTTGTCTCCAACTCAGAGTAATATGGATCGGAGAAGCGAGAGTCCCTGCTTAAGGGATAGCCCAGAGAGAGGGAGCGGCAGCCCTGATGTCAAAGGTCCTCCCCCGGTGAAGGTGGCCAGGCTTGAACAGAATGGCAGCCCTATGGGAGCCAGAGGGAGGCTCAATGGTTCTGTCACCAAATCAGTGGGAGGTAACAAACCTAGCAGAACTAATGTATGCATAACAGTCTGGCGGCTGAGTTATAATAGCACAAGGTCTCAGGGTTCAGGTTGGTGTAGCTTGAGCGTCTTGGTGTAAGATTACGGAAAGAAAGTCAATGGCAGACAGTTAATGCCCCACTTTAACTGATGTCTCTCATCAGTAACCAATAGGCTCATTATGGTTAAATAAAGTGGCTTATGTAGAAAGTGGCATATTTTGGGCACTTTGCCATTCTATATCTGGAGTTAACTCCTTTATGTTGCAGGAGAGAGTGCCTCCTTTTTCCTGGAATGCTTAAAGTTATTAAATACTCATCTTACTCTTAACAGAAGACATAAAAAGGCTTTGGAATTTCTTTTATTTAAGGATAGTTGTCATTATCTTCTAAATAGTTATATAGCTATATCTGGACCAATGTCAAAGAATTTAGCCCGTATGTAGTTTTATATATATCTATGCCGAAGTGGTTTGCACTAAGTAAGCTGCATTAAAAGGGGCACTTAATTTAGTCTCAAGAATTCTGTATTTTTGTTAAATGCTTTCTATACATTTAACCATCTTCATTGTATTTTATTCTCTCTTAGAAGGTTTTTAAACCATTCTTTAAAAATAAGGAAAAAGGAGGTCATTTCAAAATCCATCGTAGGACAATATCTTAGGCCCACTTAAGATTCCAAAATAGTGTGCAAATTTTACTAATCAAGAGTATGAGGATAAATAATGTAAGCCTTTACCTCGTGAATTATTTGTCACAAAAATCTCAGAAGAAATTGGTGTATTGTTTCTTTATCTGGTACTAGTTTAATTCAACTGAGATTTGTGAGATCTAGCTTAGGAGTTCAGCTGACCTTCTAAACCTTCAATTAGAAGTAATAGTTTGGTATCACTCAGTAAAATATAATGCCAAATAAACGTATAAGCCAACTCATTTCTTTACTTTCCGAGGCAAAACTATGTTTATTTTGCTTTTGTGGAGAATTATATATCTATTTTAACAATGATATAGCATTTCGATATTATAATTACAGATAGCTCATGTATTCTATATAGTTTTACATTTTTAAATGGTGCCATTTCAATAACTCTCAAAATCCCTAACATGCAGTTACTTTAAAGATTTTATTTGTGTCATAGTTCCTGGATCTTCAATCACTTTATGTTTGGAGATTAATGTTATAACAGGATCTGATATTTTTGCAAAGTTTCTAAAGTAGAAGGAGATAATAATGGCAAACGCGTAGTTCTCTTAAATATAAAGCATATTGTAATGCATATTGGCAGCATTTTTACTCTGTAGCAGTTCATTAAAAAGCTCATGTCTTTACAAATATTGGGATCTCTGAAGGATAAGAAAAATGCAGCGTGGCATCACTGCACCCTTTTTAACAGTTCAACCATTTTGTGCGCATTCTTATCTTTCCCTTTTCAGTGGAGATTAGTAATTACTAAAGATTATCGAAAAGTTGTATCTTGAGGTTTCCTTTCTCTGTCTCGCATTCTGTCTCCCCGTCCTCCATTTTAGTTATTTATATATTCTTCGATAACTTAAATTTTCTTTGTACTGGATTAAAAAAAAATGGTCAATAGCTTGAGAGCCTTTGATGAATGCATCTTTTTTTCTTAGCATTCTTATCACTGTAATCTTAGAGATAAGGAAAAATATATAATTAAATAAGTTCAAAACTTCTGAAAGCAGTAACAGATAGTTATTGATTTGTTGCTTGCTACACCTTTTGTAACTGTTTCAAAATGAGCCATGGAGGAGTTTGTGACAGGTTAAGAACATTTATTTTTGGGAAGTGTTTGTAAGTTTGCACCATTGTTTTCTGGTGATCTGCTAAAATACATTGTGGAATGAGAGGTTTTTGAATTTTTTTCGATTTTGGAGGGGTTTGCAAATGTTGCTTTACTACTACAGTGCTTTGCTACAAAAAAAATTCTCAGATTGTAATGATATCAGTGTGACAAGAGACAGGATTTTATTCACAAAAAAGTTGTCAAGTCTTACATTTCTCAGTGTCATCTTCTAAGATTATCTTTTCATGCAATACTAATTGGTTTAAATTAACAAACTATATTATGGTATTAACTTTCTGTTTCATGCAGGTTTTTGTAACTGTAGCACCTGCTTACCAATTGAATGGAAGACACTAAGAATAATTTCTAAAAATGTAGTTCTTAATTCTGTTATACTGAATACTAAGGCAATTAAATATTAAAATAGTTAAATCAAACCTTCTTAGGAATTGGGTGCCTAGTTAAAATTGATATAAATTAATTTTAGCTGCTGTAAAACTTTCTATCTTATAAAATGTTTATTGCTATTGTTCTCCAAAAGTTTATTTTGAAAAAAAATCAAGAAATTTGTTCATAGATTTAAGCATAAATTATAGAAGAAACTTACCTTGCTTCAAATAGTGCATTTATATAAAATAAACATACCCTTTTAATTACAATACACAGATTTGAATTTTATAGATTTGAAGACAGTTAATTATAACAGAAAGGGAAACTGATACTTGGTTTGTAGAAAGGAGTAAACTAGAGGTCTAGTTACACTGAAGAAATATTTGTTATATAAAATAAAAAGATCTCCTGAGGTTGTCCAAGTATAATAAATTTTTAAATATAACACATAATTTAGGAAAGTTACTTGTTCTTAAAAAAGTACTGTAGTTTTGTTTTTTTTAAATATCAGCAGACTGTAATTATCTTATTTTTGTTGGGGAAAACAAAAAAGTCCATTGATATTTCCACACTCTCCTCTCTATTCTTCTGATTATTATTTGTGCAGACATAAGATATTACCAATTATAACAGTTACGTTAAGTTGCATATTGTCTCTGATATGTACCTCTAAATAAAACTTGTGGGATATACTTTTTAAAATTTTTATTTTGAGATGTATGAGAAAAGTTACAGAAAACTTTTGTTGGTAATGGCGTATTATGTGTTCTTGACTTAACACTTCTTGTTCTTTACAATATTAATTTCAGCAGAATTAGTCAAATTAAGCTGCAGCTTCTCTTCCTCCCTCCCTCTTCTTCTGGTATTCCTAGATGCTCTGTTTTAACCATCTATGTAATAAAACAGAAATGCTGTGATATGTTCATGATTGGCAGAATTTATAGTGAGTCTGTGGGAGAAAAAAGCAAATATCTCTTTAAAACACATCTGATGCCTGGGAGAGAGGTTAAAGCAAGCAAGAGCTCTATGGTGTTGACAGCTTTATATCCCTGCTGGGTAACATTCACTTACTAGAATTGGCGTCCCCTCTCAGTTAGTAATTTGCTCCATAAGGATTTTGGAAAAAAAAAAGGGGGGGTGATTAATGGCCAGGAAACTCAGATTTCTAAAAATCCTGAATAAAATTATCTGTTCATGACTCATCAGTTTTTTATGGACATTTATCTTTATTTGTGTTTAAGAGGCTTAATAAGACTGTAATCCTCATCTCACTAAATGTAGAAATGAGGTCTGCAAAAATCACTAAGATGTTTTAAAACTAAGTCTCCTATTTTGTTCTTTATGAAACCAGCTTAAGTATATAAAATAGATAGTATAAAATGCCAATATCAGATCTAAGAAACCGATTATGTTGTCATATTTGATCTATCCAGTTCATTTCTTCAGTGGTATTATAAGGCTGAAAAGCACATAGTATCAGGTCTTGTAAAATATACAGTCTAAAACATAGGCCGATTCAGAAAGTATAGGTTTTGCTTAATCAGATACCTAGTGGGTGGGGGTTTGAATAAAAAGTAATAACACTTCTGTAGTTTTTCATTAATATATTTCAAAGTTTAGTATATTATATAGTTCACATGTTCAAACAAATATGCTATTTTTAACACATATAATAAAATTATTGAAGGTCAGATCCATTTACATTGATACTTATTGAAATCAGTCCACTGAAATCAATGAGTTTATCATGACTAACTTAAATCACATTCTTTTTTAGTGGTTCTACTCAAAGGATGTCTAGGCTGGAACCTAGCCTGTTTCTATTCAGTGTAGGTATATTTCTCAAACTGGCTTAATAGGAAAATATAAAGCTCTGTTTTCAATTTTTAATAAAATGGCTAATGGTCCAATCTTATATATGATTGAAAAACTTATCACATTGTTTTCAGTTAAGTTTACTCTGAAGTAAATGTACATTAGGTTGCAGCCTTAAATTTCAGATCTGGACCTCAAACTTATACAGTTTACTTAATATTGAGTCCAATGTTGCACAGTCCCAAGTAGGATTCCAGTTTTTGCTTTAAGGTCTAGCATGCCATTGTTAAAATGTTTATGTTACAAAGATTAATGCTACATCTAATAGAACTGGGCATAGGAGGGTTTGTTATGACCTTTTATTACTGTTACAAGGGTCATGAGGGGAAAATCACAGCTAACATTTTACTAAAACATTAAGATGGAATCCATAGTAGTGAGTGTGATCTAATGTATTAATGGAGGAGTGTTGATGACAATTGTTAACATACTTTTCTCGCAAATAGTTCCCTTTGCAGCTGAGTGGAGAGTAATACTGTGGTGCTGAATCTTTCAATTTTTCTCCTGTGGTAGTGATATATTGTGTTATATCTGTAACAATTAAGTACTTTATAGCTTGATGGTAAAGTAAGCTAGTTTTAGCCATTGTGACAGATTTTTATTACTACTTGATTTTGGAGTATATGTGGTTTATATAATCCTGAATTGGATAGTGCTTTTTAAACATATTATCAGTTTAAAATATTGTAAAACTTGTTTATTTTTACAGCGCTAGAAGACAAAATTAAAATCTTCAAAAAAATTGGGAAATAATAAGTTGTTAAGTGAGTTAGAAACTGAATATTTTTAAAAAATCAGCATTTATAACTTAATTGAACATTGAGATGTGCTTTTGGAGTCAACTATCTTGTCATATTCTGTATTCTCATAAGAATATAGCTCTTTTGTGGTTTTCAGAATTTGGTCATTTGGTTTCAAAATTATGCA